ACCCCTGCGCCGGGAGGGGCCTGTGGCGGTGCCTCCCTCCACAGCACGGCCCACTCGGAAAGGTCGACCTTTCCACTTCCCAAGAATTTGATTAAAAATGTTCTTGGAGCAGCAGCCTTACAGTCACGTGACACCAATGCTGTTAAAAACAGGACTCAGTCTCGGCCAAATTACTGCTCCTTAGCCCAGCAACACACAAAGGCAAGCTGACTAGAATTTGCCCTTGGAGCAGTGGCACCGTGCCCTCTAAAACGGTCTAGATGAACGCTCGCTCCTGTCGGAGCAAAAGGACCCGGAGGACAAGAGGTGCTCCGAGCACAGCTACACTTCCGTACAGGTAACAGGTCCCCCTCTCCCACCGTGGCCGGGCCCTTGGTGGCCCCTTAAGAGGGACCCAGGCACCTGCAGGGGGTTCATCCTTAAGAAGCCAGGCTTAGACAGGGCCCTTCAGCCTTCTGGCCTGTGGGTGCTGCGCCCTGACCCCGCCAGGCCACGTCACAGGATGGTTCCGCTTGCTCCGGCACCTCGGGGCCGTGGCTGGGCCGCCGGCCAGCAGGAAGCAGAAGCACCTCAAGCCAAGCTCGGCGGAAGGTTGTGCTCTCCTTCCTCCAACTCTGGTTTCCGGATACTGAAGTAACCTTTAAGAAGTTCTGGCCAGTGCTCTGCTTTCTTCCCGTTTTGGGTGGGTGGTGGTGATGAGGACAGACTGTCTAGTACCCCACCTGCAGGAATCCGTGGGCTACTTTAACAGTATTTTCATTGGCTCCAAACTACAGCAAATTTTCTTTGTGCAAACATGAGCTTTACAAAGTTTCGGTCAAACCCCCAGCGCCAAATGCAGGACCACTTTAAGCGAAATCTTGCATCCAGGCTGACAATTTGCAAATGTCATGTGGAACAAAGCAAGATGACGGGGAGCCTGGGCAGGGTGCGTGCGCACGTGCTTACGCGGGGATCGTGTGTGGGCGTGCGGCAAGTGAGAGACTTGCCTGCAGGGTCTGCATCAACACCTGTGGTACCTTCCTTTTCATGCAGAATTATTACTTGAGGGGCAGTGGTGGGTGGCGGAGGGTGGAGAGAGACAGTGAGCCTTCCATCTACTGGTTCACTCCCCAGATGCCAACAGCGAGGGCTGGGCCAGGTCGAAGCCAGGAGCCAAGAACTCCATCTGGGTCTCCGGGTAACTGGACCATCACTGCTCCCTGCAAGGGCACACGTTAGCAGGAAGCTGGAATCCTGAGTGCAGGCTTCCAGTCGGTGGCTGCAGCTGTACCAGACGCCTGCCACTGGTGCATTCCGCAAACACGCCCCCTGTCCTCAGTGTGCGGGTGACTGCTGTCAGGCGCCCCCACGGACACAGAACAGACGCCCAGGTCATATTTCCTGTAACCCACACACTTCTTCCCACGTACTTCAAATCATTCCCAGATCACTTGTATCACCGAACATAATGTAGATGCTACGCAAACAGCTGTTATAATGTGTTGTTCAGAAAACAAGTCCCACACGTTTTCAGAAGAAATGGAATTCCATTTTTGGAGTATTTATGATGTGGGGTTGGCTGAATTGACACGTGTGGAACCCATGGACACGGCTGACGGGATCCCTCACAGATCGTCTATCTTAGGCACTTACAGACGCTTTCTATAATACATCTCCAGCCTGGAAGATTTTAGTTGTTTTCTTTTGCTTTTATTACAAGCATATAATATTAATTGGCAAAACACTGAATACAAGCTTCACTGTCATGAAAATCAAAACATTTAAGCAATATTCCAAAAAAGATCTTAGACAAAAACTAGCCACCAATAGTACAAAAATTACACACCAACACAAAGCATAAAAAATGTAAACTTTCAAATTAAACAGTCAAAAATATGTATCTGCATCATCATTTCCATACACTGTACGGTTTCCTCTGCTGCCGTCCACTGCTGATCAAGGCTTAGTGGCTGAACTATGTCCCCTCACCATCTACCACTCTCATTTCTGGTTTCCAGTGAGGTTCCTGGAACAGACATCTACACGAGGGCTACACACGCATCTTCGGGGACGCCCAGACTCCAGTGCACTCTTGGATGGGAGTGGACTATGCTGGAGGGGACGGAGGCGGCGGCCAGCCCTTTCCCTCCACAGGAGCCTCTGCCTGCCCCATCCCGTCGACGGGGGACACGATACAGTCTGCGCTGATTCCCTAACCCACTTATCCCAATTTCTTTAGTCTGCTGAAGCATCAAGGCAGAGAACCACATCTGTTCCTCACCAGAGGTCACCTGGTTCCTGAAGAGACACAGAAACTGATCTTTTTGATTTAGCCATCTGTACCAAATTTCAGTATTTTGAGAGCACGTTAAGTATTCACGTACAACACAGAATCAGCTGGCTCACTCGACCCAGCACCACCTTTCCAACCACGGCAGAGGGCAACCCTGGGCACGGTTACGGACTAACCAAACGGGTGTCCGAGGGCAGACCCCCGGGCCCACTTCATCCCCACTCCCAGGGCAGCTCGGCTGAGGGCACCCGGCCCAAGGGCACCAGAGCCCAGGTTGGCGAGCCCAGCGTGGGGCCACCTTCCCCGCCTCCTGCTGCCTGCCCAGCCTTTGGTTTTGAACACTGCCGACAGGTCCACACGCGTGCACGACCGTGATCCAATGACAGCGGAAAGGGAAAAGCCAAATACCTGAATGTATCGGCTTGGAGACTCCACTGGTGCTCCCTTTCAGGTGCGCAGGACAGATGCTACGTTACGATTAAACAATGTCTAATGAGTGCACGCCGGAGCCTATTGCACAAAAGCATAGAGAATGCTCTTCATCCATAAAAAACACAAATTCAAAGCTACTCAAAGAAAAAGAAGCTTGCAAAACATGTCACAATTTCATCTTATATGCCTGTAAATAAAGCCGGGCCACGGGAACGACGACTGGATGGGAAAATACGATAGAAGGCTTAAAATAGAATAAATAATTTTATAAAGTTAAGTTTTCTTTTTTTAACCCCCCAAATCTTAAATTCAATATTATATACTCTATCTGAATTTTCTATTTCCATGAAAATGGTGTCTAGTGAGACCACATGCTGGTACTGAGTCCCACTGCTGTCGAAGACAACGCAGGAAGGTAGCCCGACAGCATTTGTTGTGCCAGCTATAAACATTGTGAAAACCACTTCACAGTAACTCCATCTGTTAAAAAAAAAAACTCAATAGGAGCCAATCATTAACTGATCCTAGCTTTCATGCTGGAGAGAATGAAATTCGGCCTTGTGGTGTTAAATGAGAGCTTGAGAGAAATGAAACCAGAGCCCTGGAAGCTTCCGTCAGACGGCAGGACAGGATCATCACGCTCCAGTCACAAACTGCGTAAGGCTACAAAGTCAGACCGGGAAGAGGCGGACGGGCGCCAGGGACGTGGTCCTGTAGTGGAGACAGTCTGCACGATGAAATCTTAGAAAAATAGGTACTTTTGCTGCTGAGGTTTTATCAGGTTAACACGGTTACAAAAGCAGGAGAGCCTAGCCGACTTCCCCATCTCTCTGTGTATTTAAATGTATCAACTTAGCACCATAGCAAAGTCAAGTGATTCCAAAGGTAGCTACAAAGTTACAAATATACACCATGAGATTATGACCGGAACAGAGTTAATTTTACTTGAATTTGGAGGCTCGCACCTGTTTAACCCTTTAGTTTCATCACACAGGAAAATACCTACGCTCTAGTGTTACACTTAGGACGGACGCGTTCACAGGATGCTTCGCGGTGGGTGTTTTGAGGTAGACAGGTAATATTCACTCATACACGCTTACTCATAGACCCTCGGACAGCAACTCTGAGAAGCGATTTGGATGGACAGCGAACGGACGGGACAACCTGGGAGTTCATGGACTTAAACAAAGAGGTGAATTTTGACCAATTCCTAAAAAAAACTTTTATGGTTTACAAAGGCCTCACATTAAAAATCACTTGAATTGGACTGATTTGAATCCTTTTATCATCCCTAAGGTTGGGACTCAGGGGCAGCTGCTTCTGCACTTCCGTGTAGGAAACAGGAAGCAGAACAGGGGTGTTCTCCTCCAGGAGCCCAGGAAACATCCAGTCAGGAGGTCAAAGGTGAATCCTAACAGCACTGCTGGGTCGTGGGCACCTGGAGCTCACCCCATGCCCTACAGGAGGAAGGAGGGAGGGGAAGCGACCCAGCAGTTCAAGAACGGAACAGGACCGTGGCGGGGGCGACAACACACTCAACCGAGCGCCCTCCTAATTTCAAGGAACGAATATGTGTGTGTGCTGGCGAGGACCTTAAAGTGACAAAAACTAAGACCTTGGAGGAGAGAGACGTCACCAAGGCGCGTGCTGCCTGTGACCAAGCAGGCAGCTCGTATGAGGAGACCACTTCCCTCTGGAGCCCTCGGCCTGCCCGCCCCCGTGCCCACGCTCTCAGCCGGAAGACAGCAGCCGTTTCCACCGCGCGAGAGGGAGGGAGCGGCTGCTGCAGCTCCTACAGCCCAGCTGCCTGCAGGTGTCTGAGGCCGTGCAGGCGGCACCCACACAACCCACTTCTCTCTTCAGACAAAGACAGCAAAGAATGACGGGAAAATAAACGATGGCACTGAGCAGTGTGTGCCCTCTTTAGCAAGTAATTCTTAAAAACAAGAATTGTTCTGCAAACCAGCATGAAGCCAGTGAAGCCAGCTCTGGTCTACCCTGTGAGTATGCGGAGTCACCATGGGAGGCCTGGGCCGCCGCTGTCATGACAGGGTGGCCGGGGAGGACCCAGTGCACGGGGCCCTGCAGAGCGCGTCTGTCCCAGGCCTTGGACGTCGGACGTCACACGCCACAGAGGCCGAGGGCCAGGGCAGCGGCTGCTGTGCTGTCTTGAAAGGCAGAGAATCAAATACCACGGTTATCAGAGTATCAACGGAAACCCCTTTTGGTTTGCTTTTAAATTAAACTCTCACACATCTTCTAAATCTTCAGGAAGCTAAAGGCAACATAAATATTGTCATTCACCATGAAAAGATTTTTTTTTCAATAACTTAGAGAGGATTCAAGAAAAGTAAAAGTACTTTTGAGGCTTATCGTGAAACCAAATTTATAAACTGAACCCAAGTGGACCTGGAAATCAAGCGGAGGTGACCACAGGGCTCGGGGCCCCACCTCGAGGCTCTGGCCCGGGAGTCAGAAGCAAAGGCAGGTGCGACTGGGCTGCGTGAGACTGTGAAGTGTTTTCATCCTGGTCAGCGTGGTGCTGGTCGCGTCTTGCTGAGTGTGAATTCTCTCATACAAAAGTTATAAATATTCTCTATTCAGAAATCGGGTCCACACCACACGCAGAGGCAACTTGCAGAGCGGGTGGCACGGCCCGCGTGCGGCACCTGGGGTGCTGGCCAGGCCGAGGCCGCTCACAGAAGGTCCATCTTGGGCCTGTAGTGCAGCAGGAGGGGCGCCTTCTGCAAGACAGAAGAGCAAGCGGCCACTCAGCAGAGGCCACAGGTCCTTGTGGGAGGAAGGGGCCCCGCCCCTGGGTCCCAGGTAAGCTGGAGACTCCTAGGCAGGACCTCCTCCTGTCAACATCTGCTCTGGCCTGGGCCCTGGTCAGTCCTGGCCACCTCACTTCCCCTTCCCACGGGCAGCAGGAGGTATGGGGAACTAGCAGCCCGGGGACAGCAACCCCCCAGTGTCCCCTGCTTCAGGGAGAGACGCCCACAGGCACGAGGGTTTGCTCTGACGGAGCCCACGCTGCACCTGTCCCCGGGGGCCCTGGCCTGGGAGGGACAGGGCCTCCGGTGCACACCTGGCGGCACAAACTCTTCTGTGCTGCAGCCATTGCCCCTCAGCTCTTAGTAAGAGACCCACAGGAAGCAGCCGCTGTGTGCAGGGCCTGGAAGTCAAACGCTTGCACACACCAGGTCTCACCTTGAATCTCCACCTCGTGACAACCACGAACTTGAGCGTGTGGTCCTTGCCCAGGATCTCCTCGTTGCATAAAATGTCCAGCTGGCGGGAGAAGGGGCGGGTTAGGGAGCTGAGGACAACCTGAGGGTGAAGAACCCGCCCTTCCGACCATGCAGGAACGAAGGATGCCACAGGAAAGGTATTCATCTGTCCATGTCTCCTCCCAAACTCCCTAAAAGGAACTCCAGGGCAGAGACAGGCGAAGTTGCCTCCCTCCGGCATCACAGACGCCTCCAACCTCTCCCTCTGGCTGAGCACAGGGCACACCTGAGGCAGCTGGGGACGCTCAGCCTGCGAGACCACCCCCTGCCCCAGCCCCCGACAGGTGGTGGGCCACAGAGCTGTCCTCAGCGGCCCATCCCTCGTTCTGCCGCCACAGCTCCCAGAACTTTCCAGAAATGTAAATATTCATCTAAATTGTTTGTAGCCACTAAAATAACAGAAATGGAACTTATAATAGGAAGCCGCTTGCCCCCTCCCCAAACAGCCTCAGGGACCTGAGGTCTCTGGGGTGCACAGGAGCCCCAGCCGTGAGTCATGCCCCCGGGACCCTGCGTGCTGGGCCATGGAGTGGGAAAAACGCCCGTGCCCCACCCCAGCAGCCAGAGCCCCTCGGCCCGCCAGTCCCCTCTTCCCTGTGCAGCAGCCCAGCAAAATCTCTCTCTTCTCCTTCTCCCCCTGGCACACATCCTGCCTCAGTTTCTCCTGGGGCTCCCAACATCCACTTGCTGAGGGCCACTCCAGGCTGGAAGCAGGGCCTGTGCTGTCCCCGCGGAGCCCCCGGGAGTGTCAGCGTCCATCTGTGTGCCGATGGGGCAGGAACGCGCCCACGCGGGGCTGGGGCTGTGTCCTCCCTGCTGCCCGCAGGCCCCACCCGGCCCCAAGTGTCTCAGGTCTTCCTGCTCCTTGCCCTCAGCTCTAGGGTCTATAAGCTGATGATGTTGGCAAAGTTACCTCCAAAGGTTCTGGGACCCAGAACACTGGCTTCCCTGCTGGGGGCTCATCCCACCCACCCTCCTGCCTCTGCGGCTGCACCTGCCCCCTTCCTGCCCCCAGAAGCCATCACCCCTGCAGCCCGAGGGCCTTCAAGCTCCATCTCACACCAGGCCCTCCGAGCGCAGAGCCGGCGCCTGCCGCCCATCCCTGCCTTCCCGCGGGCACAGCACTGGCCACCAGGTCCTGCTTCATCTCCATGTGTTCACCAAGCCAAGGGCGCCACAGCTGCCCGCCCAACCACTCGGTCCCTAACCCCACCCTCTGGTGAAATCGGTGATCCTTCAGCCTGTGTCAGAGTAACTGGCAGTGGGCTTCCCCTGTCCCCGCCGCCTGGCGGTTACCTCGTTGAAGGAGGACAGGTTCAGCTTCTTGGCGATGAACTTCTTCAGGTGCAGCACGGTGGCCTGGGCGGAGCAGCGGATCCACTTGCGCTTGAGGCCCCGCAGCTTGCTGCTGTTGCACTCCAGGCAGATGCTCACCTGCGGGAGAGGCAGGGCTGGCGCTGGGGAACCCCTCAGGCACCCCGATCCCCAGATCAGAAATCTGTCATGTCTGAGATTCCCTTCAGATCTCCACTCTGCTCAGCAGCCTGGCCCTGTGACATGAACCCTTCAGAGAGAAGCCGGGGTCACTTCTCCAGCGCAAGCACGGGGCCCTGCCCTGTGCCGGGGCCACCTCGCACCTCCTGCCGACACGGCAGGCACACGCGTGTGTATGCATGCAGCCACAGACACACGCCATGTGAGGCCCTGAGCCAGGCCTGCTCCCGCTCAGAGAAACGGCACAAGCAGGTCCTGAAAACCCAGATAAACACATCAACGAGAATGAGAATACACATCTAGAATCAGGAGATCCAAGACAGAAAAATGTAAGACCACGTGAAAAACGGGCAAGAAAGAAAAATAACCAAGCACTCCTACAAACGAAAATGTCACGGAAACTACACAGCCAGCAGGTGCGGAACCTGAGCCGTCTGAGCCGACAGACTGATCCTCTTGAAGTTACCCCCAAGGAGGACAGAGACAGAGCACCAACAACCTAATGAGGGAAGCAAACGGACTGAGGGGCCACCATCCATGCCACAGGAGCCCCGGAGAGAACGGGGGAGACGGCGAGGGGCAGAGCCCAGGAGGCAGGGGCTAAAGCTTCCCCAGAACGACGAAAGACGTCAACCTTCCGACTCGGCGAGCAAGAGAACCCCCTCCAAAAGACAAGGCAGGAACAGCCAACCACAGGGTGCAGACGTGCAGCTGCCTCCCTGGGACTCTCGCCATGGCAAGAAGGGGCAGGTCCTGCCGGGAGCCCTGCCTGGAGGGCTGGCCATTATCTCCCCTTAGTAGGAGACCCAGTGGGGGCACCTGCACGCAGCTGTGCAGAACTCTGGGAGGAAGACCCTGGATCTAGGGGAGGCTGGGAGGCCAGGCCCACACTCTCAGACCTTTTCAGAAATGTAAATATTCATCTAAATATTTTGTAGCCACTAAAATAACAGAAATGGAACTTAAAACTTTCAGGCAAGTAGAAGCAAAAACGAGATACAGAAAATGTACTGTCAATAAAAGACAGGGAAGGGACGCACAGGAAGGACACAAACGGGTCTCAGAGCAGGGCAGCAGACACCCTGGGAATGTCAGCGGGCCAGCAAAGCGCTCTTCTGATTTGACCTTTTAAGAAATCCAGCTCTGAAGTGTGACACCTGAATACAGGGACAGCTGGCAGAGCCAGATCACTAGCAAAGTGGACTTGAAGGAACAAGCTACAGCGAGAATCTCCACAGGACAGGAGCCGCGCCAGAACCCACATGACCGAATGATGCCTGGGTGCACCTGTGTGGAGGCTGTGTCGGGGCTCCCTGCCTCCCACCATGAGCAGAGCGTGGGCCCCCCGCCCTCACAGCACAAGCAGGCAGCACTCCGCACCATCCAGCACAGCCCTGGCTGGGAGGAGCCAGGTGCCAGACGGGAAGGTGTGCACAAGGGCGCACGGCCCCACACGTGGTCCGAGGGCACTGCCTGGACCGTGGCAGCTCTGCCACTGCACGAAGCTGGAGGGCTCCGGCGGTGCAGACGGCGCGTCTCTCGTGGAAGGAGAGGGGAGACACCGAATCAACACGGGAAGTGGCCACAGGTGGCCTCTGTGCGGCTGGGCTCTCACAACAGCGAACTCTGCATGTGAATCCATCGTCCACGGAAACACACGAATCGCTCCAGGCTTCGGGCGCCGTGACACACACACCTCTCACAACCCAACGGCGCACAGCAGATGCCAGGGCCAGGGGCCAGTCACTTGTGGCTGGGAATCGCCTCCACCTGCTCCCACCCTGCCCCCTGGACACCCACCAGGCCGTTTCCCACCTGCAGACCCAGCCCTTCTGGGAGAGCAGCAGGGCCCCTCCCTGCCCAGTGGCGAGCCTGGGTCTGTGTTTGGTCACTGCAGAAAGCCCTGCCAGGACACCATGCGCTTTCACCTCCCCAGAGGGCTGGACCTCACGGAGAGTCTTCATTTCCCTCTAAGCAGGTGCAGCACCAGTGGTGTGTGGAGGTCCCACCTCGTCAGCTTTGGCGGTGGCCATCCTGGAGTGGGAGTCCCGCCGAGGACTGACCATGTGGCACTTCTCCAGGTTACCGCCCTCTGGGTGCACATTTTGAGAAACGCGGCCCCTCCCTGGGTGTTCCTCCTGGGGTCAACCGAGGCCAACTATAGGCCCCGAAGACCTCCCACGTCTTCCTGTAGGTTTTGCAGTTATAGCTCCTATTTTCTGGGTTACTTTTCCACACCTTAGGAGACGTAACTAATCTTGTCTTTGTTGGAAACACAGTTCTTCCCCGGTGAACTGCCTTGGGTGGGAATCCACTGACCCTACAGCTACAGGCTCTCGGGTTTGCTTCTGTGGTCTGGATGCAGAAGTCCCCGGAGGCCATGTAGTACAGTCGTGGTTCTGGGGCCAGCACTGTGGCATGGCAGGTAAAGCCAACACCTGTGATGCCAGCATCCCACATGGGCACCAGTTAGAGACCCAGATGCTCCACTTCCAATCCAGCTCCCTGCTGGTAGCCTACGAAAAGCAACAGAAGATGAACCAGTGGTTTGGTCCCCTGCCATCCACATGGGAAACCTGGATGGAGTTCCTGGCTCCTGGCACTGGCCTGGCCCAACGCTGGCTGTTACAGCCATTTGGGGAGTGAGCCAAGAGATGGAAGATCTTTTGTTGTTGTTGTTGTTAAATATCTACTTATTTGTTTGAAAGAGTTACAGAGAGGCAGAGAGGCAGAGAGGCAGAGAGAGAGAGAGAGAGAGAGAGAGATTGATCTTCCATCTGCTGGTTCACTCACTAAATGGCCACAACGGCTGGAGCTGAGCCAATCTGAAGCCAGGAGCTTCTTCTAGGTCTCTCACGTGGGTGCAGGGCCATCTTCCACTGCTTTCCCAGACCATAGCAGGGAGCTGGATCAGAAGTGGAGCAGCTGGCGCCGCGGCTCACTAGGCTAATCCTCCGCCTTGCGGCGCCGGCACACCGGGTTCTAGTCCCGGTCGGGGCGCCGGATTCTGTCCCGGTTGCCCCTCTTCCAGGCCAGCTCTCTGCTGTGGCCCGGGAGTGCAGTGGAGGATGGCCCAAGTGCTTGGGCCCTGCACCCCATGGGAGACCAGGAGAAGCACCTGGCTCCTGCCTTCGGATCAGGGCGGTGCGCCAGCCACAGCACGCTGGCCATGGCGGCCATTGGAGGGTGAATCAACGGCAAAGGAAGACCTTTCTCTCTGTCTCTCTGTCTCTCACTGTCCACTCTGCCTGTCAAAAAAAAAAAAAAAAAAAAAAAAAAAAAAAGTGCAGCAGCTGGGACACAAACTGGCGCCCGTAAGGGATGCTGGTGCTGCAGGTGTGCAGGTGGTGGCTTTGCCCACTGTGCCACAGAGCCAGCCCCAGATGGAAGATCTTAAACTCTGAGCTTGAAATAAAGAAATAAATCTTTAATAATAAAAATAAAATGGTGTGGCTTCCAAGGCACTGCTTGGGAGGTGGGCACAGGTCGCCAGGAGCCTGCCAGGGAGGGTGGGACGGAGAAAGCCTCTCACAAAAGCCTGCGTCTGGGCCCAGCTCTTGCTGCTTCCTCACTCGCTGGGCTCCTTCCTCTGCCCCTGCTCCAAGGGACCCTGGACGGAAACAAAGCCTGGCCCAGGCGGTCTGGTCCCAAGCTTCCAAAACTGAGCTGGTTCCAGCTGTCTTCTCTGCCCACGTGGCTCGTCATGCGGGCTGCGGTGCGTGGGCTGAAAGTATCTCCATGCCTGCAACACGACATCTAAATGAACATGCTCTGGGAGCAAGTTTCCATGTCTGAATTTCCAATACACATTTTAAAAACAACCCGTGGATGACTCATTAACAACAAAAGAAACAACCTGACTCAAAGATGGGCAGTTTCTCCCTAGGCGGCCCACAAATGGCCAGAACCCAGCAAACATGGTCACCACCTCAGGCCCAAGAGGCTGTTCGCAGGGGCCGGCGCTGTGGTGCAGCACGAAGCTGCGGCCTGCAGTGCCGGCATCCCATGCGGGCGCCAGTGCTCGGGCCCTGCACCTGTGTGGGAGACCCGGAAGAAGCTCCCGGTTCCTGGCTCTGGAATGGCCAAGCTCGAGCTGTTGCCGCCATCCGGGGAGTGAACCAGTGGATGGGAGCACCGTGTGTGGTGCTGGCGGGACCACAGCGTGCAGCTGCTGAGGCCCTCCAAAGGCAAGCACCAGCGACGGACGCGGGTGCGGGATGGAAACAGCTCCAGCAGGCGTCTGCGCTCCATGCTCCTGAAGCCAAGACGTGGGAGCAACCCACGTGGCTGCCGGGAGCAATGGGCGAAGCACACACAGCATCCGGGGGCTTTGGACTGTGAAACTGACTTGGGAGCCGGTCTGTTGCAGGGCAAAGGAGAAACAAATCCAGGCAGTGCTCACGACCACAGGCTTTCTGAAGACTCCGCAGCCCTGAGCAGCAGGGAGACTCGGGCCGGACCGTGACGCACCTGGCCCCGAGGACGGATCCTGAGGGCCACTGCCGACGTGAGGGCCCCAGAGGCGGGCGAGGCGCGGTGCCGGCGTGGGGTGGAGTGGGCGAGGAGCAGACTTTCCAAAACAGGATTTAGTCATCTGCATATTTATTTGTAAGGCATCTGCGGGTTCACTCCCCAAATGGCCACAATGACCAGGCCGGGCCAGGCCAGGCCAAAGCCAGGAGCCAGGAGCTTCTTCCAGGTCTCTGCGCGGGTGCAGGGGCCCAAGCACTTGGGCCATCTTCTACTCTTTCCCAGGCCACAGCAGAGAGCTGGATGGGAAGTGGAGCAACCGGGACTTGAACTGGTGCCATCACAACGCCTACCTTGGGAGCTGGCATTTTATGGGGACAGAAATCAGTCTGGGGGGGATGAGAAAGATGGATGGTAGTGACGGCTGCACAAGGATGGAACACACCTAATACTACCTAAGTGCACACTGAAAAATGTTTGAAATGGCAGGTTTTATGTGTATTTTAACCCAATTAAAAAACTGAAAAACAGATCCACAGGTCAAGATGGAAATCACGAAAAACTGAAGCTGTTTAGAACCAAACTACACGGACGTTCAACTCCAAAGGTCAGGAAGGGACTCAGAGTAAATCCTAGAGAGAAAGGGGAGTGCAGGCCTTGGGGACACAGACGAGGGGACAGAACCCACCAAGGAGAGAAAGGCTAAATCCTCCAAGTGCAATAAAACAGCAACAAACTCCACACAAACATGACACTTCTTGTTCACTCTAACAGTTGTTAACATGTGTCAAAACCTCAGTCAAATTCAGAATAATTCCTAGCATAAAAGGGTGAAACAGGGGGCTGTGGGAGGGGGCTAAGCCACCCTCGAATACCCACGACCCATACCGGAGTGCCTGGTGTGAGCCCTGGCTGCCTCACTTCCTGCTAACGCACCCTGAGGGCAACAGTGGCGCCCACGTGCTAGGGCCCCTGCACCCAAGTGGGAGGTCTGCATGGAGTCCTGGCTCTGGCCTGGCCCAGCTCCGGCTGCTGCAGGCATTTGGAGAGTGAAGCAGCGGATGGGAGAGCTCTCTCTCCCTCTCCCTACCTCGCTCCCTCTTCCTGTTTTCAAATACAAGAAGTTCTGTGACACAGAATTGGGCTGACAGTGGTGCGGGACAGAATAAGACTGACGCGTTCTGGAGGTGGCCGGCAGTGACGGGTCAGGGAGCATCAGCCTTGTTCCGGGAAGGGACAGATGCTAATCTCACAAACTGACCGGAAATCCACGCTTAAACCCCGACACCAGGCCAGAGAGAGGAAGCCAGGAAAACACAGCGGCAGCCAAGGTTGGCGCGAACAGCGAGAGGCCCCTGTGGTCTAGGCCCAGCAGACGATCCCAGCTCAGCATCCAAGACCAGAAGCAGACGGGCTGAGGACTCAGAGCCACTCATGTGTCAGGACCAGGGCAGACGGCTCTGCTCCAACGCATCAGGAACCCACACCCAGACTGACCGTCCTGGGACAGGGGGTCAGGGCACAGCGCGGCAGGAGGAGACCCTGCATCTGAGGCAGGTGGACTGACAGCCGAGGACAGACCTCATTTCTGGTCTTCACAGACACGCGGCAGGCTCCCCACGTGCTCTGACAGCTCACAGAGAACGAGCCTCAGGCTGCGGTCAGACTTAGAGGCGGCACTGAATCACCAACGGCCAGGAGTAGGGCCAGCAGAGCCGAGGGCTACTCTGTGCGGCCTGCTGCCACGTGACGGCACAGAGAGGAGCCGGCAGAGGCACCGCGCAGACGCCAACGGCGGGCCGTGCAGGGCGAGGCTGTCCCGGCCTGCCCACCAGGGGCCCTGCTGGTTTCACGAGACCCACAGAAACGGAGCGCCCCCCACCTGCTCGTCGCTTCTGTGGTAATCATTGTCCTCCTCCTGCTTCTCCTCCGCCGTCTCTCGGTTTGAACTGTCATCTGCTTTGGTTTCACCTTTCGGCATAAACACAAAAGACTGTGTATTAATCCAGAAACATGAAGGCCAAATGCTCCAAAATCGAACCTTTCTGAGTGCCAGCATGAACCGGGCAGACCTCACAGCTGCGCTCCTGCGACGCTGTCGACGCAGGTGCATTCCAAATGTCAAGGCGGTGCCGTCACCTCACGCTATGTGTGCAATGTGCGCACAACGCACATATGGGTGCCATCCATGCCTAGAGCCGGGCCTCGTCCCAAACACCTGACTGTGCACACACAGCCATCCCAAAACACGGCCAGTCCCATTTCAGACACGAGATACTCAACCTGCTAAGAAATCCGAAAGAGCAGTCTATTCGGAATCACTCTACAAGGGGCCAGCGTGGTGGCGTGGCGGGTAGAGCCGCCACTCACGACACCAGCATCCCATACGGGTGCCAGTGTGAGTCCCGGCTGCTCCACTTCCAATCCAGCTCCCTGCTAACGGCCTGGGAGAAGCAGCAGAGAATGGCTGCAGTGCTTGGGCCCCTGCACCCCTGTGGGAGACCTGGCAGAATTCCCAGCTCCTGACTGCCCAGCCAGGTCCTGGTCATCGCGGGCATTTGGGAGCAAATCAGCAGGCACACAGGAGTTCTCCCCCTCTCCCAACAAAACAAAATCCTGTGCCTAGGCTCCAGCTGTCCACAATGCGCCTGTCAGAGCACAGGCCCCCATGGCAGGATCCCCACAGAGGTGAGGCCAGGTGCCCGTGGCTGTGCAGCTGCGTAGGCAGCTACAGAAGGCAGGGCCCTGGGGTGGGGACAGGGACAGCCCCAGGCCTCCCAGAGCCCCTCAGGGCTTGCCACACCCACAGTCAAACCCGCTCTCACTGGTCGACACAGCCACAAAGGGATGGAGTGCGAGGACACAGCTCCTCCTTGCTTCCCCCTCAGGTCACCGGGAGCCCCAGAGGCTGGGGAGGGCCTGGGCCCCCAGGAGAGCGCCCAGCCTGGCAGACTTGGTGCTGACCCGGGTGCGCGGCCAACACTGCAGCTCTGCCTGTGCTTCTGTCAGGGAGCCCACGCCTGCTTCTCCTGCCGCAGGCCCTGCCAGCTGCACCCTGGGGAGCCCCCACTCCCCGCCCTCAGCGCCACCTCACTCACCGTTGCGGTGGGGATCCGAGTGCTGCTTGGCAGAGCACGCCTCGCCCTTGGTGTCGCCCGGCACTTCCATGCCCAGTTTGTGATAGAATTCCCTCTGTTTCCTCATTTCCGCTGTTAAAAATTAACACAGTCTTTAATCTTGAGGGAATCCTGCAAAGGCCTCAGGTGGGGTTGTGAGTGAGACAGCTGCTGCTAACAGCAGGATTCAGCCTCTGCCAGCCGTGACACCAGGGGCTGTGTAAGAACCTTGTGGAGGGGCTGGCACTGTGGTGTGGCGGGTAAAGCCACCTGTGGCACCGGCATCACATATGGTTGCCGGCTCAAGTCCCGGCTGCTCCACTTCTGATCCAGTGTCCTGCTAATGGCCTGGGAGAGCAGCAGAAAATGGTGCAGGTGTTTTGACTCCTGCCACCCACGTGGGAGACCTGGAAGAAGCTCCTGGCTTCAGCCTGGCTCTGGCTGTGTGGTTATTTGGAGAGCAAACCAGTGGGCTGAAGATATCTCTCTCTAACTCTTGACTTTCAAATAAATAATTTTTTTTTTTTTAAAAAAGAAACAACCACACAGAGCCCAGTGGAGTTGAGGTAGGACCAGGCCACTGGAAGCCCAGACCCAGGCTGTGACTCCAACCTGCTTCATGCTGCAACGCTGCTTCGAGTCCCAGCACCTCGGTTTCCTGCTGATGTACCTGGGAAGGCAGCAGGTAACGGTTCAAGTGCTTGGGCCCCTGCACCCATGTGGGAGACCTGATGGAGCTACTGGCTCCTGGCACAGGCCTGGCTGTTGTGGGCATCTGGGGAGTGAACCAAGGGCGGCACACTCTCTCCGTCACCATGCCATTAAAATACATGAAAACAAATAAACATTTTTAAAGGTCAGGGAAGAATCCTAACGTCCAAGTCCACCTTTCTCTGCTGTCCACAAGTGGTCTGGGTGCAGCAGCAGCTCAGCACCCTCCAAGGCTTCCAGGCTGCAGCTGTGTGCCCACGTGGCCATCCCTGGACAGACACAGCTCACGGCATGCTCGCCGGCCACACAGGTCTGCTGGAGACTCTTCCAGGGTCTGTGTGACCCCATAAAGCCAGGCTACCGGGTGAGGCTTCAGAGGGGACCAAGGTTAGATCAGGACCCTGGGGTGCAGCCTCACGGCTGGAAAGAGCAGATGCACCTGTTCCCTCGTGATGCCAGGCTCTGTCACCATGACACCGTGTGCCTGTCATGTACAACGCCAGGCTTCTATCACTCACAATGCTGTGCCCCTGTCACTCTCGACGCCAGGCTGTCACTCACGAGGCCAGGCTCCTGTCAATCAGACACCAGGCTCCTGTCACTCGAACGCCAGGCACCTGTCACTCACAAAGCCAGGCTCCTGTCACTCAGACTCCAGGCTCCTGTCACTCACGAGGCCAGGCTCCTGTCACTCAGACACCACGCTGCTGTCACTCTCGACGCCAGGCGCCTGTCACGATGCCAGGCTCCTGTCACTCAGATGCCAGGCTCCTGTCACTCATGAGGCCAGGCTCCTGTCACTCAAAAAGCCAGGCTCCTGTCACTCACGAGGCCAGGCTCCTGTCACTCAGACACCATGCTCCTGTCACTCTCGATGCCAGGCGCCTGTCACTCACGACGCCAGGCTCCTGTCACTCACGACGCCAGGCTCCTGTCACTCAGACGCCAGGCTCCTGTCACTCAGATGCCAGGCTCCTGTCACTCACGACGCCAGGCTCCTGTCACTCACGACGCCAGGCGCCTGTCACTCACGACGCCAGGCTCCTGTCACTCAAAAAGCCAGGCTCCTGTCACTCACGAGGCCAGGCTCCTGTCACTCAGACACCATGCTCCTGTCATTCTCGATGCCAGGTGCCTGTCACTCACGACGCCAGGTTCCTGTCACTCAAAAAGCCAGGCTCCTGTCACTCATGAGGCCAGGCTCCTGTCACTCAAAAAGCCAGGCTCCTGTCACTCAGACACCATGCTCCTGTCACTCTCGATGCCAGGCGCCTGTCACTCACGACGCCAGGCTCCTGTCACTCAGACAACAGGCGCCTGTCACTCACGACGCCAGGCTCCTGTCACTCAGACGCCAGGCTCCTGTCACTCAGACGCCAGGCTCCTGACTCTCGCGATGGCAGGTGCCTGTCACTCACGACACTGCATTCCTGTCACTCAGACGCCAGGCTCCTGTCAATCAGACACCAGGCTCCTGTCACTCACGACGCCAGGCTCCTGTCACTCAGATGCCAGGCTCCTGTCACTCATGACGCCAGGCTCCTGTCACTCAGACGCCAGGCTCCTGTCACTCACGACGCCAGGCTCCTGTCACTCAGACAACAGGCGCCTGTTACTCTCGACGCCAGGCTCCTATCACTCAGACGCCAGGCTCCTGTCACTCACAACACTGCGTTCCAGTCACTCATGAGGCCAGGCTCCTGTCAATCAGACACCAGGCTCCTGTCACTCAAACGCCAGGCACCTGTCACTCACAAAGCCAGGCTCCTGTCACTCAGACGCCAGGCTCCTGTCAATCAGACACCAGGCTCCTGTCACTCAGACGCCAGGCTCCTGTCACTCACGACGCCAGGCTCCTGTCACTCAGACGCCAGGCTCCTGTCACTCATGACGCCAGGCTCCTGTCACTCAGACGCCAGGCTCCTGTCACTCACGACGCCAGGCTCCTGTCACTCAGACAACAGGCGCCTGTTACTCTCGACGCCAGGCTCCTATCACTCAGACGCCAGGCTCCTGTCACTCACAACACTGCGTTCCAGTCACTCATGAGGCCAGGCTCCTGTCAATCAGACACCAGGCTCCTGTCACTCGAACGCCAGGCACCTGTCACTCACAAAGCCAGGCTCCTGTCACTCAGACGCCAGGCTCCTGACTCTCGCGATGGTAGGTGCCTGTCACTCATGACACTGCATTCCTGTCACTCAGACACCAGGCTCCTGTCACTCAGATGCCAGGCTCCTGTCAATCAGACACCAGGCTCCTGTCACTCGAGGCCAGGCTCCTTCACTCAGACACCAGGCTCCTGTCACTCACGATGCCAGGTTCCTGTCACTCATGACACTGCATTCCTGTCATTCAGATGCCAGGTGCCTGTCACTCACGACGCCAGGCTCCTGTCACTCACGACACTGCCTTCCTGTCACTCAGACACCAGGCTCCTGTCACTCTCGACGCCAGGTTCCTGTCACTCATGACACTACATTCCTGTCATTCAGATGCCAGGTGCCTGTCACTCATGACACTGCATTCCTGTCACTCAGACGCCAGGCTCCTGTCACTCAGATGCCAGGCTCCTGACTCTCGCGATGACAGGTGCGTGCTGCTCCAGGCCTCTGCCAGCAAGGCCAACACCGGAGAAAAGCTTCCGCCATGCAGGCCCAGCACCTCCTTCCTCTGCGACGTTCCCAGTCGCGACAGCCTTACTAACTGGAATGGGACCACGGTGTGTCAGCTCAGGCCGCACACCGATGGGCTGCAGTGAGGACGCGAGAGCCTGCAGCCCAGCCATTCCACTCCAGAGGACAGCAGCAGGTATCAGCACACCACTGAAGCACGCGGCACGCTGATCACCGCGCCTTCCTCTCAAAGCAACGAGCAGCAGCAGGACAAGGGCCACAAGAACGTACGTGCGGACGGAGTGGAGGCAGAGCTGCCGGCCATGGGGTGGGGGGCACAGCCACGTCCACACAGCAAGCGTCCTACAGATGAGGACGCTGCCTCCGGGAACGCAGGCCTCAACAATGCACAGACACACACGGGCCGGCGCTGCAGGGAGGCAGGCAGAGCTGCTGCCTGCGGCACTGCACCCCCAGCAGAAGGCCGGTGAATCCGGCTGCTCCGTGGATAAATAAAATAATAAATGAGCAAAATAAAAAGCTCTTTAACAAAGGTGCTTTGCAGCACCCACACACCTGGGCGCTCAGCCTCAAGACACCACAGGCCCCAGGAGATGGCGGGGTGGCCCCTAGCCCTCCCACACAGGGTGGGAGCGCACGATGGGCTTGCGTGCACCTTGCTGGCGGCAGCTAGAAGACACAGGAAGGGACGCTGCTGCCTCGGGTCTGCTTCTCCTACAAAGGAGGGGCCTCGGCTCAGCAACGCGGAAGGAGCAGAACTGGTACGGTGTGATGGCTGCCTGAACCAAGTGAAAATGACCCACAGGTGGGCTTTGCCAAAAACTGGGCATGGGGTGGCGCTGTGGCATAACAGCCTAAGTCTCAGCCTGCAGTGCTGGCATCCCATACGGGCACCAGTTCTAGTCCAGCTGCTCCACTTCCGATCCAGCTCCCTGCCAATGCACCTGGGAAAGCAGCAGAAGCTGGCCCAAGTCCTTGGGCCCCTGCACCCACGTGGGAGACCCAGAAGAAGCTCCTGGCTTCAGATCAGCCCAGCTCCGGCTATTGCAGCCATCTGGGGAGTGAACCAGCAGATGGAAGACCTCTTTCTCTCTCTCTCTCCCCCTCTTTCTGTAATTCTACCTCTCAAATAAATAAGTACATTTTTAGGAAAAAGAAAAAAACTGGGCACAAACCCTGATGCAGTCCCACTGCAAGTTCTGCCGATTCAGAGGCTGCTAGGCCACCATGTCAAGTGTGGACGTGAGGACGCCCAGCGTGGGAGACGACAGGGAGGAGGGGCATGGAGCCATGGGTCTGTCTCAAGCACAGCCCTGTCTGGATCCTGCCTGAAATCAACAAGAACCCCAGCGCTGAGATGACCAGGAATGCCTTCGCGAGGGGCCTGCACGGCGACCCTGACGTGCACAGTGCCGCCGGGGCCTCTGCCGCCGCGGATGCGTGGGGCTGCCCGTGGTCCCGCCATCCCTGGCACTCACAGAGCTCTGTCGTGAACACGTCTGGCATTTCACTGTGGTGCACTCCTTGCCTTCACCCAGGACTACACTTCCATTCACACTCTGCTGGCCTGAGTGACTGTGTGGCCAGTGAAGGACTCACCGTGACTCCCTGGGTGTAAGGCCAGACTCGACATCTACTGGCTGAACACATGGAGCTGCACTCGAACCATGGCCCTGTCCTGATATCAACAGCCCGGTGCGTCTGGGGAAGGACAGGTGCCCAGATCCCAGGCACCGCCGCGCTGGCCGCCCAGACTCTGAGGATAAGCTCTGTCTCCCGCCCTGTGACACGGACGTCGGAACTGGGGGCTGGGGGCCGCTCCCACTCAGGCCGGTTCCCACTAAACCCGGCAGACGGGACTTTGCATCCTGTTCAGCTTTCCTTAACGCGGACTCTCAGAGCCCCTGCCCTGGCGGGGGCTGCCAGGGACAAAGAAGGCGGAGCCTTCAGGTCAGGGGGCCACCAAACATCCAGTTGAGCCCTGCTGAGTGGACAGGTACCACTGAGACTGCAGAGGGCTCCAATGTCAGACACCCTGCAGCGAGGCCAGGGTGGCGCAGGTGAGCTAGGAGCAGCTGACTATGTCCGAAGAGGCCTCGGACAAGGGCCAGGGCCTGGGGCCCAGAGGGCTGGGAACTCACCTTCCTGGAGGCCTGGCACCAGCTTGTACACAATGTCCTGCATGGTTCTGTCATGGCTGCAGAAGAACAGAGCGGACAGTCAGCTGGGAACGGCGACTCTGGGCTCTCACACACCACCCACTCAGCACCACCACTCCCGGGTCAGCACCCACTCAGCACCAGCACTCCTGGGTCACCACCCACTCAGCACCAGCACTGCCGGTCACCACCCACTCAGCACCAGCACTCCCGGGTCAGCACCCACTCAGCACCAGCACTCCCGGGTCAGCACCCACTCAGCACCAGCACTCCCGGGTCAGCACCCACTCAGCACCAGCACTCCTGGGTCACCACCCATTCAGCACCAGCACTGCTGGTCACTACCCGCTCAGCACCAGCACTCCCGGGTCACCATCCACTCAGCACCAGCATCCCGGTCACCACCCACTCAGCACCAGCACTCCTGGGTCACCATACACTCAGCACCAGAACTCCTGGGTCACCATCAACTTAGCACCAGCACTCCAAGGTGAGCATCCACTCATCAACAGCACTCCTGGGTCAGCATTCACTCAGCACCAGCACTCCCAGGTCACCACCCACTCAGCACCAGCACTCCCAGGTTACTGTCCACTCAGCACCAGCACTCCCGGGTCACCACCCACTCAGCTACAGCACTCCCGGGTCAGCGTTCACTCAGCACCAGCACTCTCGGGTCACCACCCACTTGGCACCAGCACTCCAGATCAGTGTCCACTCAGCAACAGCACTCCCATGTCAGTGTCCACTCAGCAGCAGCACTCCCAGGTGAGCACCCACTCAGCATCAGCTCTCCTGGGTCACCATCCACTCAGCATCAGCACTTCCAGGTCACCACCCACTCAGCACCAGCACTCCTGGGTCACCACCCACTCAGTACCAGCACTCTCGGGTCAGCACTCACCTAGCAGCAGCGCTCTGGGTCAGTGTCCACCCAGCACCAACACTCCTGGGTCAGCACCCACGCAGCTACAGCACCATCATCATCCACCCAGCAGCAGCACTCCGGGTCACCACCCACTCAGCACCAGCACTCCTGGGTCATCATCCACCCAGCAGCAGCACTCCGGGTCAGTGTCCACTCAGCACCAGCACTCCATGTCAGTGTCCACTCAGCACCAGCACTCCTGGGTCAGCACCCACTCAGCACCAGCACTCCCGGGTCAGCACCCACTCAGCACCAGCACTCCTGGGTCAGCACCCACTCAGCACCAGCACTCCCGGTCACCACCCACTCAGCACCAGCACTCCCGGGTCAGCACCCACTCAGCACCAGCACCCCTGGGTCACTGCCCTTCAAGTTCTACTGGGATCACTCCCAGGCTATGGCTGTCACATGCCCACAACCTCGATCATGCACCACTTGACTCAGGTTCTCACCATCTGGACAACGGCCACAGGTGAGAAGGGACCTCCAGGGGCCAGCACCTGGGGCCAGCACGCGCCCTGGCATTTCCCTGGGGTGTGCACTGCATACCAAGCTTTTCTTCAGTGTTCCAGAACAATTCAAGGCACCCTGGGATGGCCACTTGTGGTCTGGGCTGACCAGGAAGGCCTGTACAGGGCCCGTGGCCGCTGACCCCGTGTGCAGAGCCCACTCATTTGTTGTCTTAAATGTGAATGTGCAAGGGACTGTTTTCTTTTTTGGAGTGAGAAGTGTTAGTGAATTTAATTTTTAAATCATTGTAATTTCCAAACCTCATTCTTTCAAAAGAAAACCATACATGCCCCAATGAGTAACACCTAAGTAACTCACAATGATGGTCTCACAGACCACATGAGGCCCTACTGCACAGGCGCTGGGGAGCCGCACACCACAGCACAGCCGGGCTCCTGGGGCTCTCGCTCTGAGTTCTCCCAGAACCAGGGGGCATCCCCAGGCCAGCGTGGGGCTCCAGCAGTCCTGGCATGACCCACAGGGACATACATCCCACTGTGTGACGGGCACACAGGCCAGGGCACGTGTGACAACCATGTGTATGTGGGGCCCTCGTGTGCCAACACCCTTAGCACCTCACCAGGGGCCCCACCCTGACCTCCTCAAGGCTCAGCACCCACCCTGCATGGTGTTTCCAGCCCTGCTCAGTGCCCAGCAGGTGGTATCTGGGCCCCTCCTGAGAGAGCACGGGGCAGACAGGACAGGTGGCCCCGGGACATGAAGCCATGCCAGCTGCGGCCTCCCTCCCTTCTCCACCTGCTCCAGGTGCTCCCCAGCACCCATGGGCCCACGGCTGGCACCCGCACCAGGCCAGCCAAGCCCCGCCCCCGGAGCAGCAGAATCCTACAGGAGGCAGAGGTGGGGACAGGTGTGCTTGGGTGAGGCCCGTGGAGAGCAGGCGGTGTCGGGTGTGTGCAGCATGCATTCCGGGCAGAGCCCTCAACACTGCTGGGGTGGAGCAGAGCAGCCCCCAGAGGCTAAGAGTCCAGAGCTGGCCGTGTGTCCTCCTCCCGCTCATAGCCACCACACCGTCACACACACGGCCGAGCTCCAAGGGCCCAACATGAGGGGCAGGACCTGGCCATCTGACCCCGCCCCTCACCAGGCAGCTCCCCCCTCCTGCCTCCTTCCTGCTGCTCCCTCTCCCTCCCAGAGTGTGGAGGGGGGTCTGTGGGACCCTCGTGGGGGCAGTCTCCCAGGCTCCCGCTCCTCACCACCACCTGCATTAAAGTCCAAATGGAAGCCCCAGTCCCTCAAGTTCTGAGGCCTGCAGCCCAGGACAGAGTGCAGGTGCTCACATCACTAGCACCACTGCGAGGAACCAGAGACCTGTGGAGGAAAGCACCCAAGGGCCAGGCGGAGGAGACAGGCACAGCAGACCCCGCTGTGGATAGAACTGGACACCAGCAAAGCCGGGTGCTGGCCACGATGCAGAGCTCATGAGCTGCACGCAGGCAGTTCTCCAAGCCAGACACTGCTCCTGGACAGGGACACCAGGACGTCCAGGGGCACTCAGGCCAGCACTGCCAAGGACAGCCCACAGCACACAGCCAGCACCACTGGACGTCACTCAGGCCAGCACTGCCAAGGACAGCCCACAGCACACAGCCAGCACCAACAGTCTCCAACCCCCGCATGCACCGACTGTGGAGCCCGCTCCTCGGGCAGCCGTGATGGCGTGACCCGCGTGGCAGGGGTCCCAGGGGGCGGGCACACGCACGCCTCGGTGGCAGGCGGACAGCTGGGGAGGGCTCCTTAGAAACGGCCGCTTCTCCCCGTGACTGTACACTGCCCGCTCTTCCTTCCACACCGGCTCTCTGACGTGTCTCCTGCCCCGTGTGGCGGGCGTGTGTGTGTGTGTGTGTGTGTGTCTTGTTTCTTGTACGGAAAGCAAACACACTCTTCCTTCCACACCGGCTCTCTGACGTGTCTCCTGCCCGTGTGTGTGTGTGTGTGTGTGTGTGGTTTCTTTTATGGTGGCCCCCAACCGGAAGCTGTTTCCCTCAGAAATGGCGACTGGCTGGGGCATGTGCAGCCTCCCAGACTGGGGAAGCTGCCCAGGGCAGGACAGCCCCCAGCACGCAGCCGGGGCAGCCCTCCCCTTCAAAGGCCACTGTCCGCAGTCCTAGCCTGGAGCCCGAGGCCTCCCCCGGGAGGCACAGGGGGCACTCACCCGATGTACTGCAGAGGGTGGCTCTGGTGGATCACGATCCTGCAGGTGGGGCAGGTGTTGTTCTCCTCCAGGTACTTCACCAGGCAGCTCCTGCAGACTGCGCAGAGGGCGCCTCAGCACCCAGAGCCGCACGCCCACCCCCACCACGCTCGGCAGCCCCAGAGGGCTGACGCGACTTTCCTGAGCTCACCCCTGGGGACTGCTTCTAGAGGTGCCCTAATCTGCATTCCAGAAAGAAAAGACTTTGCCTTTCAGGCTAACAGGGCATTCCCGACAGCTCTGCTCTCACCCCTGACGCCAGGGTCAGGAGTTAAGTGGGAAGAAAAACCCAAAAGACGACAGTTACCAAATGTGAAAGACCAGAATTCGGGCCAACGTGTACAATTTCTACAAGTTGTTCTAAGAGATCACCTACTTTCTTTGTACCACAAAAGTAGGTAAAATTCAATGAAAATTACCTACTGTGCAAAACGATGCCTGGCAATCTCGACCACAAGTCACTTTAGGACAGAAGTTCCAGTGACAGGTGTCTGGTACAGCGGCTACGCTTCCAATCCAGTTTCCCGCCAACACGCCTGGGAAGTAGCAGATTATGGCCCAAGGACTTGGGTTCCTGACACCTGAATGGGGTTCCTAGTCCTGTTTTGGCCTAGCACAGCTCTGGCTGTTGCAGGCATCTGGGGAGGAACCAGCAGTTAGAAGAGCTCTCTCCTTCTCTCTGTCTGCCTCTATGTCTGCATCTCTTCGTGCCTTTCAAATGAAATGAAAATGAAACACCTGTACAGACATCCTGACCCCCTGCAGGCAGTGCTCAAACCAGTGGCCTCCGGAGCCACCAGGAAGCCTGTCAGACGTGACGAGCAAGCCAGCAGGCTCCTCTGCTTGGAAAATTTAAGGAATTCACTTGAAAATTTAAAAGTAAGCATCTCTCCCTGCCAGCAGTGAGCATTCTGTCGCTCTCCCGGATACCCAGGGACACCCGATCGGCGCTGCTGAGCCCCCGAGTGATGCCTCCCTACCACCGATGCCACCACGGCGCCCAGGTGGCCTCGGAGCCTGCTCAACTTCAGCCCTGCTCCTGGCCTGGGCTCAGAGCACATGGTATCAGGCTGAGCGAGCACCCCCGGAAGGCCCACACGTACACGTGTGCAGACACTCCGTCACTGTGGTCGCGTCGATGAGGTACCCGCTGCACAGGCGGCAGGTGATGTGGGCGTTTATGTCCCAGAGCTTAATCTTTCTGGTCAGCATCTTTGGCTTCTGCAAGAGAAACAGCATTTGTTCATCAACATCTCGGACACTCCCAAGTGCTTCACGGGCTCAGGGTCACTACAGGAAGGGACAGATACTGCCCCACCACACCAGTCTGAAAGACATGGCCTTGTTTCCTCCCTACTTCCCTCGGGATACGCAGTGCACCTCTCGGTAAGTGCCCAGCCCATGGAAGGCAGCCGAGCCCCAGCCCAGCAGCCGACGAGGGACAGCAGCCACCGACCTCTCTCAGTCCCTGCGGCCGTCAGGAAGGAGGCCAGGCTGCTGCTGTCACTGGGACCTTCGAGCTGGCGAACGCTGGGCCCAGGCCCCCTGTGTTGGGCTCAGCTCGGGTGTGTGGAACTCCCCTCACTGTCTCCACCCTGAGCAGGGGCAGGAGTGAACCCCAGGCTACAGCACTCAAGTCACCACCAGCAATAAACACGTTGCACACAGAACTCGCTGAGACAGGCCTGACCAGGCACAGCACCTGAGCTGGCTTGCCCAGGGGTCCTTCCAGACTTCTCCACTCACGAACCATCTCACTCGCAGCTCCTACCAGCCAGCTGCGGCCTTCCCAGACACAGGCCCACTCAGTCCTCACTGTCCAGAGACCACGTAGGAACACACGGGAGCTACACATTCTTCTGGGGCTGGACGCTGCTCTGGGCACGGCACAGCCAGGCGGCAGCCTTGCCAAGGGAATGTCTGTAAGCACTGCACTGTGCAGCCTGGCCACGCACCCGCCTGGCTCCAGCCATGCCTCAGCAGCACAGGGCCCGCACAGACCCAGGTCCTGCTCACGCACCGTCCACAGAGGCGGAGGAGAGCACCTGGAGAAACCCACTGTGTGAAGGCTGCAGACAGCAGAAGCAGGGTCTACAGTGGCCAAGCTGGGACAACCACGCCCCAGGGAGCTGCCGAGCAAAAACTGGGGCAACAGAGGCCGGCGAGGGACACGACAACAGCATTTCCAAAAACCCATTCGTGAGCACAGGAAGAGGGTGGGTGACTCAAAAACGTTCGAAAACCCAATTACCCTGAACAAATATCCTGTCCTGAGAGCACAGGGAACACTGGGAACCCTGACAGACACAGACACCCCCGTCCCTCAGACACAGACACCCCCGTCCCTCAGAGCACAGGAACACTGGGAACCCTGACAGACACAGATACCCCTGTCCCTCAGAGCACAAGAACACCGGGAATCCTGACAGACACAGATACCCCCGTCCCTCAGACACAGGGAACACGGGGAATCCTGACAGACACAGATACCCCCGTCCCTCAGAGCACAGGGAACACCGGGAATCCTGACAGACACAGACACCCCCGTCCCTCAGAGCACAGGGAACACTGGGAACCCTGACAGACACAGACACCCCCGTCCCTCAGACACAGGGAACACTGGGAATCCTGACAGACAGACACCCCCGTCCCTCAGAGCACAGGAACACTGGGAACCCTGACAGACACAGACACCCCCGTCCCTCAGACACAGGGAACACTGGAATCCTGACAGACACAGATACCCCCGTCCCTCAGAGCACAGGGAACACTGGGAACACTGACAGACACAGACACCCCCGTCCCTCAGACACAGGGAACACAGGGAACCCTGACAGACACAGACACCCCCGTCCCTCAGACACAGGGAACACTGGGAACCCTGACAGACACAGACACCCCCGTCCCTCAGACACAGACACCCCCGTCCCTCAGACACAGGGAACACTGGGAATCCTGACAGACATAGATACCCCCGTCCCTCAGACACAGGAACACTGGGAATCCTGACAGACATAGATACCCCCATCCCTCAGAGCACAGGAACACTGGGAATCCTGACAGACAGACACCCCCGTCCCTCAGAGCACAGGGAACACTGGGAATCCTGACAGACAGACACCCCCGTCCCTCAGACACAGGGAACACTGGAATCCTGACAGACACAGATACCCCCGTCCCTCAGACACAGGGAACACTGGAATCCTGACAGACACAGACACCCCCGTCCCTCAGAGCACAGGAACACTGGGAATCCTGACAGACACAGATACCCCCGTCCCTCAGAGCACAAGAACACTGGGAATCCTGACAGACACAGATACCCCCGTCCCTCAGACACAGGGAACACAGGGAACCCTGACAGACACAGACACCCCCGTCCCTCAGACACAGGAACACTGGGAACCCTGACAGACACAGACACCCCCGTACCTCAGACACAGGGAACACTGGGAATCCTGACAGACACAGACACCCCCGTCCCTCAGACACAGGGAACACTGGGAACCCTGACAGACACAGATACCCCCGTCCCTCAGACACAGGAACACTGGGAACCCTGACAGACACAGACACCCCCGTCCCTCAGACACAGGGAACACGGGGAACCCTGACAGACACAGACACCCCCGTACCTCAGACACAGGGAACACTGGGAACCCTGACAGACACAGACACCCCCGTACCTCAGACACAGATACCCCCGTCCCTCAGACACAGGGAACACTGGGAACCCTGACAGACACAGATACCCCCGTCCCTCAGAGCACAGGAACACTGGGAATCCTGACAGACAGACACCCCCGTCCCTCAGACACAGGGAACACTGGGAATCCTGACAGACACAGATACCCCCGTCCCTCAGACACAGGGAACACTGGAATCCTGACAGACACAGACACCCCCGTCCCTCAGAGCACAGGGAACACTGGGAATCCTGACAGACACAGATACCCCCGTCCCTCAGAGCACAAGAACACTGGGAATCCTGACAGACACAGATACCCCCGTCCCTCAGACACAGGGAACACAGGGAACCCTGACAGACACAGATACCCCCGTCCCTCAGAGCACAGGAACACTGGGAACCCTGACAGACACAGATACCCCCGTCCCTCAGAGCACAAGAACACGGGGAATCCTGACAGACACAGACACCCCCGTCCCTCAGACACAGGGAACACAGGGAACCCTGACAGACACAGACACCCCCGTCCCTCAGACACAGGGAACACTGGGAACTCTGACAGACACAGACACCCCCGTCCCTCAGACACAGGGAACACTGGGAACCCTGACAGACACAGACACCCCCATCCCTCAGAGCACAGGGAACACTGGAATCCTGACAGACACAGACACCCCCATCCCTCAGAGCACAGGGAACACGGGGAATCCTGACAGACACAGATACCCCCGTCCCTCAGAGCACAAGAACACCGGGAATCCTGACAGACACAGATACCCCCGTCCCTCAGACACAGGAACACTGGGAATCCTGACAGACACAGACACCCCCGTCCCTCAGACACAGGGAACACTGGGAACCCTGACAGACACAGACACCCCCGTCCCTCAGACACAGGGAACACTGGGAACCCTGACAGACACAGACACCCCCGTCCCTCAGACACAGGGAACACTGGGAACCCTGACAGACACAGACACCCCCGTCCCTCAGACACAGGGAACACTGGGAACTCTGACAGACACAGACACCCCCGTCCCTCAGACACAGGGAACACTGGGAACCCTGACAGACACAGACACCCCCGTCCCTCAGACACAGGAACACTGGGAACCCTGACAGACACAGATACCCCCGTCCCTCAGAGCACAAGAACACTGGGAACCCTGACAGACACAGACACCCCCGTCCCTCAGACACAGGGAACACTGGGAACTCTGACAGACACAGACACCCCCGTCCCTCAGAGCACAGGGAACACCGGGAATCCTGACAGGCACAGACACCCCCGTCCCTCAGACACAGGGAACACTGGAATCCTGACAGACACAGACACCCCCGTCCCTCAGAGCACAGGGAACACTGGGAATCCTGACAGGCACAGACACCCCCGTCCCTCAGACACAGGGAACACTGGAATCCTGACAGACACAGACACCCCCGTCCCTCAGACACAGGGTGTTCAGGTGAAGCCTTGCTGTAGCCAGCAACACTGCCAGGGAGCAGTGGCTACACAGGCCTTGAGATGCCTCTGGCAGGGGGGCCTTAGTTCCATGGGCCATGCTGGCTTGCTACCTGCACAGGACGCCTGCCCTCCAGCCAGGAGGCTCTGTCTCTGAGTGTGTTCTGCAAAGCAACACTGAGGTTACCAGAATCCCCGCACAGTGATGCTCCCTGTTATACTGCCTGGGTCGCACGCAGCAGCCTTCTTGAACACCCTGTGCTGAACAAATGAACCAGGGGACAGTCTTGGTCCTCTGTGAACCAAGGACTGAGGACTTCAGCTTCATCCTAGTTGGACAGCAGTGGGGTCACCAGGGATTTAGGGCAGAGCCCTGGACAAGACTACGCTCCCCTCCCACCCATCAACACAGGCACACAGGACAGCAGGGCCCCGGGACGCAGCCCACCCATCAACACAGGCACACAGGACAGCAGGGCCCCGGGACGCAGCCCACCCATCAACACAGGCACACAGGACAGCAGGGCCCTGGGATGCAGCCCACCCATCAACACAGGCACACAGGACAGCAGGGCCCTGGGACGCAGCCCACCCATCAACACAGGCACACAGGACAGCAGGGCCCCAGGACGGAACCCGGCCTCACCTCCTGGAGACGCCGCGCGTCCTTCCTCCCGGCGGGGCATGGAGCCTAGGCCAGCACTGGGACGCGGCCGTTCCTCCGCACTCTGCACCCTGGTTCGTGTCTGCACCTTCCTCCTGGGCCTTGATCTTTTTCCATTTTCTAGACAGAAATGGGCACCTGTCACTTGGCATCAGCTCCGTATGTGCAATTGCAAATATCCCCCCTCTTGGAGTTCTTACAAACAGCGGGAGGGCACGGGCCCTGCTGTGAGGACTCGCAGGACCACGGGAGCTGATTCGTCTGCGGCCATGGCACAGCCCCAAGCATGGTCCATAGCACTCAAAGGGGTGGGCAATCATCCTCAGTGTAGTTACCTGTGAGAGAGCCCGGACTCCCTGCTACATCGTGAGGCCTGTGGAGAAGCACAAGACAGTGTCACTGGAGCGAAAGAGGGCCACGGGCCACGGGCAGACCCCACCCCGAGAACAGCTCTGAGCCCTGCTTGGTTATAGTTTGGGCTCCGCCACAAACAAGAGGCAGGTCTGGAGGGCACATGATGTCCCCAAGGCTCTGGCAATCTTCAGGAGTCGATGGACACTCTCAGGAGGAGGCATAAGTGCCAGGGTGAGCGGAGGTCAAGGGGTCGGGGAGGACCGTGCAGCACACGTGAGCGTGAGTCGCGAGTGTCCACGCTTCCCTCACCCTGGGCCGCGCAGTGCCCAGGCAGGACTCAGGCTCTTTTGTGGCAAGACGGTGAGCACACAGGGACCACAGCACCCACAGCACAGGAGCAGGGAGGACTAGGGTGCACCTGTGTGGACCTGGGCCTCACTGAGCAGGGGCCAGGCGAGCAGGAGAGCGGAGGGACCTGGTGTAACCAGCAGGAGGCAACACAGGGGCCTCGGGGCCTGGCGGTCACCGAGCCTGAGGGGTGCCCAGCACCTCAGCGAGGCCTTGCCCGCACCCACGCACACGCCACCGGAAAACATCTGCGGCACAGCGGGTTCCTAACCAGCACCCACCCCGAGTCCCGTTCACATTATTTCATTCTTCAGGAGTTTCCACAACTGCGTTTTTTACTGAGCAGTCTCGGTCAGCTGTCACAAAATGAGGGAGGGAGGGAGGGAGGGAGGGTTCTTCCAGGGAGATACAGGCAGTGCGGCAGGCACCTGAGGCCTGGAGGAGACCAGAGAGAAGCCCTTGGCACGGGCTCCCTGGGACCTTCCATGTGCACACTGCCCCGTGTGGTGGCCACTGACCACATATGCTAGTGACACATGAAATGTGGCTCAAGTGCGTTGAAATTTAACTAGACTGTGCAGCCAGAGCCCAGCGAACAGAAGACTCAAGTCCTCAGCCCATACCCCAGGAACAGTGAATTGTGTGCAATGCCCCCCTCCCTCCCAGGGATGACCAGAAGAGGGTGGAGGCCAAATCCCTGCCGAGCACTCAGCGTGTCAGGAACGGCTCTGGGCCCGTGCAGCTGGGCCTTCCTGGAGAGAGAACCCCACGGCTCTGTGACCACCAGGGAAGCAGGTCAGCAGCCAGAAGCTTTCCTCCAAGAAAACATCAGGCCTGGACGGGCTTCGAACATGGGTCTCACGACCCCTAGCTCTCTCTGGGGCAAGAGACAGAGTCAGGGCCCGCGCTCGGGCCGACAGTGACACGGGTCCTCCCCTGAGCACAGGACGGCCTCGTCCCAGCAGTGTTCATGACGGCCAGTCACTCCGAGCACACTCCAGGTGAGCTCACCCAACACGAGGGAAATTCAGATCACGAAAACCACTTGATAAAATCAAAACACGACTCACGATTTAACACAGCTCTGACAATTGAGAAAGAACATCTTTAACCAAGTAAGTTTTCTCTCTCTCTTTTCTTTCTTTTTTTTTTTTTTTTTTTAAGAAAGTCAGAGTTACACAGATAGAAAAGGAGAGGCAGAGAGAGGTAGAGGGAGTCTTCCATCTGATGGCTCACTCCCCAGTTGGCCACAACCGCTGGAGCAGCGCCAACCCGAAGCCAGGAGCCGGGAGCTTCCTCCAGGTCTCCCACGTGGGTGCAGGAGCCCAAGGACTTGGGCCATCCTCCAATGCTTTCCTAGGCCACAGCAGAGAGCTGGATTGGAAGTGGAGCAGCCCGGACTTGAACTGGTGTCCATATGGGATATCGGCACTGCAGGCGGCGGCCTTACCGGTATGCCACAGCGTCAGCCCCTAACCAAGTAAGTTTTCTAAAGAGATATTCACACATGGTTCTGCTGCAGGACTCACACAGTGTCACTCACAGGGCCCCGACGGCCGCCCCCCGCAGGGTCTCTCAGCGCACAAGCATGGCAGGGCGCCCACGGTGCACAGGGGCTCCTGGGCACGGAGGACACTCTGTGCACGTGGCCCTGGAACACCGAACCCTGCCACAGGCAGAACGGGGGCGAGGGCAGGTTGGTGCCACGGCCCGATGCCTGCAGGCCACAGAGGCACCTCTGAGACATGCTGGAAGCCACCACTGCACAACTCCACCAGAGACTTCCACGTGTGACCCTCACCTCCACAGCAGCACATCTGACAGCAGAAACCCAGGCACGCGGCGCAGCCGGGGCCCTGACACTGTTTCCACGCTGGCCCCGCTGAGGAAAAGCTCCCACACCCTGTTCCACACACAATAGCTTTACCGGGAGAAATCCCGGCAACCATGACCTGAATGCAAACTGAGACGCAACCACGATGCCAGGAACCAAAGGCCCTGCCCAGCTCCTGCGGGCGAGGCCGAGAGGCACCGCTCCCAGAAGGTGGGGGGCATCCACCTGCAGCCGACACGACACCACCTGACTCCGGCCGGCACCGACCAGGCCCCCACACCCCCTGCCTGGTGCACCTCTGGCCAGCAGCACTTCCACATGTCCCCGGCCCTGAGGACGGCTGCAGTCGTCGCTGACTGTGAAGACTGGCCTGAGGGGTCCGGGAGCGGCCAGCGGGATGCTGGGGTGCGACTGCCCAGCACAGGCGATCCCAGACTCCCGCACGCCAGGTGGCAGGTCCTCGGGAATGCACTCCACCTGCACACTGCCTGGGTGGAGGGGCTGGGGAGAGGAGAATGGACCCCATGCCTCCCGCGGCTAAGTCTGAGCAAAGCACCCAATGTCCGCCCAGAGCGCTGCACCCGCCCCGTCATACTGGCCAGCGGCAAGGACCCCACCACCTCTCCTCGCAGCAGCCACCGAGCACCCCAAATCCACTGACACCGTTTCACTGCCTTAACGGCCTCCTATGCAACTTCAAGAGAAGGTGTTTTTTTGTTGTTGTTGTTTTGTGTTTTTTTTGGACAGGCAGAGTGGACAGTGAGAGAGAGACAGAGAGAAAGGTCTACCTTTTCCATTGGTTCACCCCTCAATGGCTGCTGCGGCCGGTGCACTGCCGTCAGTGCATTGCGCTGATCTGAAGCCAGGAGCCAGGTGCTTCTCCTGGTCTCCCACGGGGTGCAGGGCCCAAGCACTTGGGCCATCCTCCACTGCACTCCCTGGCCACAGCAGAGAGCTGGCCTGGAAGAGGGGCAACCGGGACAGAATCCAGCGCCCCGACTGGGACTAGAACCCGGGGGCCGGTGCCGCAGGCGGAGGATTAGCCTAGTGAGCCGCAGCACCAGCCAAGAGGAGATTTTAAAACTAGAAAACTGAACTCACTATGACAACCTGGTTCTCACCCGCCGACGGCCACAGCCACGTCACCCCACTTCATCACCCATGTGGACAAGCGCAGCCGCACGCGTGCTCTGGGACACGGAGGGGGCTGTGCTATCAGCTCTGTGAGCCTCCAGTTCTGCCGTGTGCTGGTCCCCAGCGGACTGGGCCCCTGTGGCGTGCACCCCGCGCGCTGGCTCATTTGGGTCTGTGGTACAACAGACCTCGCACAAATGGAACGAATATCCTGTGACTTCTCCAGCTGGCATACGGAGCAGGTCACGTCAGGAAAGAACAGTGAACTGGCTTCTACGTGACCACACTGCACTGTGAGAAACACCGGCATCGCCGTGGGAATGCTCGGGGCTCAGAGGGCTCCTGACTCAGCAGAGTCCCTGCAGGACCTGAGCCTGGCCGGCAGAGCCCACAGCCACGGGAATCCCTCTCTGCCACCCTGACACCCGCCCCAGCCCTGCTGTCCACCGTGCAGCATAGCCTTGGCCAGCAGCAGGGACGGAACGAGCATTCGCAGAGGGACACCAGTGCTAGGGACACAGAGCGGACCGTGAAAGGTCCTGACTGCCCGACACCTGGGCGCGTCTGTGGGCAGCTTTTAAAGAAAACCACATCCCAAGTACGCAGACTCAAAGGTGCATCGGACCTAACCACAGGGCCTTCCAAAGGGGTGTCCTACCAAGAACAGAGAAGGTGGACAGTGGACACAGGGCACCGGTCAGGCAGCAGCAGGCTCGGAGCAGAGCCTCAGTCCAGGCCAAGCGGCAGGGTGGCCTCCAGGGCCGACAGCAGCCACAGCCACCGCTAGCAAAACCGTGGGACCTCCCCCACCCCAAGAGCCAAGGCGCTCGGGGAGGGCCAGGGCCCCAGGCAGGAGATGCCGCCTCGGCTGGCACAGCAGGACGCCCGGTGCCGGGCTTCTGAGTCCCAGAGCTGGGGGCTGAGAACTGAGTGTCCTTGGAACCATGGAGTTTGTGACCCACACTGTGGATGACACAGCAGGGTGGGCACGTAGCCCTGCGCTGACACCCCCGTCCCACACGGGTGCCTGGGCCCTGGCTTCGGCTCCTGACTCCAGCTTCCTGCTAACACAGACCCCGAGTGACGGCTCCAACAGCAGAGTCCCTGCCAGCCACGTGGGAGCCCTGGACTGAGCTCAGCCTGACCCAGCTGTGCTTGTTGTGGGCACTTGGGGAAGGAGCCTGCGGACAGATCTGTCTGCATCCTGTAAAATTAGAGTGAAAACTAACACAACTCAGCTGGAAAGGCCGGTTTCCAAACAGGGAACCAGTGGCTGCAGCTCCACAACACATGTGTAAGGCGGCCTCTCTCCCTGCGTTAAGGCAAGAAGTTCGTCAAGTGACCGAGGCCAGGCCTGCTCTGGACCCAGATCAGTGACCCAACGTGACAGTGCGGGGCCTCAGGGCGAGCTCGGGGGCCCTGGGAGCACCAGGAAGGGCCTGCCAGGAGCCCACCCTGCTGGTGCTGGGTGCTGACCTCCAGACGGCACGTGGATGTGAACACCTGACGTCTACACCCAGGCCCACGGCACTTGGTCCAGGCCGCTGTGCTGACCGAGGGAGCCCTCAGGCGCCACACTGTCTCCTGGGCAGGGCTGAACGAGCTGCCCCAGCCCTGCCTTCCCAGGGCAGACACATCAACAGTGTGCTCGCGCCACCCTTTAGCCTGTGCCTCTGTGAGAGGGGACGTGTGAGAGGGACACC